GATGGGCTGAATTGCACAAAACGCATGATCGCACCGGCTAATCTGGTGCGCGTTGCCATTTATTATGTGTTTTTGCTGTATTGCCGTGGGCAAAATCGCTATTGTCGAGAGGTCGTCCTGTGTTTGTGTTAGGAAGTGAGTGAACTTTGTCACCCACTTTCAACTCAGCAACCGGGAAAGATTAGAGGCTGAACTTTTGGAGGCTTGTTCGCATTCCGTGCGCCACCCTCCATTTTTAAAAAATTCTCTCATACGCGCCTAGATGTTGCATACGGATCACCGAGAAAATATACAAATTTCTTTGGCAGGAAATGACTTTGTGGTCCAGACAACACAGAAGGCTGAAATTTTGCAGTGGTATACTCTGCGCAAGTATGAGCTAAAGATTTCAAATTCATCTATTACATTGGTTTGGACTTCGCGTATGGTCATGTCAAGGTTCACAGTTGGCACTGTGCTAACTTGAAAACTAACTGGGAAAACCGAAGCTCAAGTTTTATCGGGATATTTACTGTTATATAGAAAATCGAATATGTGAATTGAGTTCGCAGTTGCGTTACGACCTAGAGCATTTCAAAGATATTTATAGCGAAGTGGCTATTTCGCTTGCCAGACAAGCTGGGAAGCTGGAACTTTGCAAGGATGTTCTGTATTCACGTGTCTTTTTAATTCAGTTTGGAGGTGAAATTCCGTGCACATGGACATGAAAAATACTCATTTACCACGAACTTAAAAGTGTGTGCATTTTGCAGTTTTCGTAATCTTCTTCCGATTTCCTTCAAATTTCCATTTTTTCAGTGGACGAGCAATCATCGAAAAAACGACCTTGTCTGGCGAAATAGCTACTTCGCTGTAAATATCTTTGAAATGCCCTAAATCGTAACGCAAGTGCAATTCGAAACTCAATTTACGTCTCGATTTTGCAAACGTAATGAGTTTCATGCAAAAAATTGATAATCATGCAAGTTGGCATTCTATGTGGCCCCATAATGCAACACCTTCATCCCAACCGGCGTCGCCTTTCTCCCTACATGCGGAAAAAGGCCAAAACACAGCCAGTTGTGAATTCAAGCGTTAAACTGCAACGCCGGAACCAATCCTGCTGTTAACAATCTGCAAATTCAGTGCAAAAACGCATGGTCGCTCCGGCAAGCTTGGTGCATTGCAGCCTGGGTTCCGGTTGTTACAAATAATTCTTGAAATTTACTTGCAGTAGTTCTTAATCTGCTTTGTAATGAAGGTAGGCATGAGTTTTATATCACATCTCATTTTTCAGCTGCTAGTTTTCAATATTCCGACCAAGAAATTTCGCATGCAACAAACATCTCCCGATGGTACTTATGGTTTTCCAGTGGTAAGTTTTTATGCGTTTTTTGCAGCTATGCAATGCAGAAAACGCATATTGACGCGAGGTTGTCTGTGTGTGTGTGTGTCTGTGTGTAGTACCGATTTTTCATCTCGAGACCGGCAAAAGCTACGGGGCTGAAACTTTGAGGGTATAATCTACAATACCGATTTTTCATCTCGAGACCGGCAAAAGCTACAGGGCTGAAACTTTGGGGACATAATCTACATGCACGTACGGGCCCCCATCTTATCCGTGTGGTACTTAAGAGCCCGCCGAAATTCTTTTCGAGCCCGCCACTTAAGAGCCCGCCAAAATTTTCCTCGAGTAT